TACTCCTCTCCCCTGAAGCCAGGCCATCTCCTACAAGGCAACTTAAAGTATGGCCAATTAACATTACTTGAAGGTGCCCTTAGCGGGAGACAAAGGTTTGTAGTCATGCACACAAACACATACATACAAATACATAAACCACANGGGGGTAATAAACTGGGGCTTCCTTGGTGGCTCAGGCTCCTCTCCCCTGAAGCCAGGCCATCTCCTACAAGGCAACTTAAAATATGGCCAATTAACATTACTTGAAGGTGCCCTTAGCGGGAGACAAAGGTTTGTAGTCATGCACACAAACACATACATACAAATACATAAACCACAACATATTCCATACAGTATTCTCCCTGAAAGGAATTCTGAATTTACCTCCCTCTAACTGTTTGTGCTCAGGAAAACTACCAGCTAGGCAGTAGCTTCATCTGGTTCCACCCTGGCAAAGCCCACAGCTGAAGGCCAGGAGCTACCTGCCATGCTGGGGAAAGCCAGGGAACCGAAGAAAACTTAGCAAAGAACTTCATTCTAAGGGAGTCCGTGGTGGCTATCAAAACTGACTCTGAATCTATAGCTTCCAAACCTGGCTGATCATCAAAACACTACTTCTGTGATTTCTTGACTCTACCCCAAACCTATTAAACCAGGATCTTCAGGAGAAGATTCTAGGAATCTGTAGGGTTTTTTGCTTTTGTTTTTTTACTGTTTATTTATTTATTTGGCTGCACCAGGTCTTAGTTGCAGCATTCAGGATCTTTGTTGCAGCCTGTGAGATATTTTTGTTTGTTTTTTTTAATTGCAGTACGTAAGATCTAGTTCCCTGACCAGCGATCGAACCAGGGGCTGGCACAATGGAAGCGTGAAATCTTAGCCCCTGGACCACCAGGGAAGTCCCTAGGAATCTGTATGTTTAACAGGCTCTCCAGGTGCTTCTAATTATTGGCTACATTTGATAACCGCTGATAAGACTCCTCATTCACAAGCAGACAAGCAAAGGTCATTCAGTGTACCAAGAAAACCAGCAGCCTGGAAGGGGGCTGATTTTGTCAAGGAAACAGAGTTAATGCAGGAAACCAGAGGAAACTTTTTTTTTTTTTTAACCAGAGGAAACTTTTCCAGTGTCAGTCCTCGGAGAGAGCTGAGAGGAGGCTACATACACGGAGCAAGAGGCTCTCCACCCCACCAGGTTCCTGCCCACCTGTTGCACACTCAGGGCACAGTCACGGGTTCACGTAGCAACCTTCCCCAATACCCACCCAACCCAGCCCGGAGGCTGTGGCTGGGCAGGGCGTCCACCCCTTGCTGGGCTGGACTCTCCCCAGTTTCCCTGATCTGGCAAGCAGATTACTTCAACAGAGGAATACAGACTGATACAAGGAAATAGTCCCACCACACCAGTAAGGAAATGAAATGAGTTACAAAGTTGTACATACAATAGGATCTCAATTTTGTTAAAGTCAGGCAGGCACACACACACAGAAATAAGTCTGGAAGGATATAAACCATGTTAACAATGGTTTTCTCTGGGGAGTCAGATTACAGGGGATTTTCACTTTCTTCTTCTCACTGTGTTCAACAATGAATACATTTTACCCTGATAATAAGGAGGAAAAACAATGAAACGTATATCTTACTTTCTAATCAGGACACAGCTAAGGTACCAAGGCCTCTGCCAACACAGCTCTCTGCCACTCTTTCCTGACCACCCCAGTCCCACCAACTCAGATCATCCCAGAAGCCTCCCTTGTCCGGTACAGTCCCACACCCCCATGGGGTTCATGAGAATTGCCTCTAACAGTTGGGAGGATTAAATGAGATGACACAGGGAAAGCACTTGGCATGTGTCATGGTGAAAGATAAACATGAAACAAACAGTGGCAAGTTAATTCCTCTTATTGTTACCCTCTACCAACTGGACCCATGAATTCCAAGATGCCAGATCACAGGTCATTTCTAGGGGCCAAGCCACTGTCTTTCCTTCAGCCCTTCTGCCCCTAGAGAAGAGGCAGGTTGTGAACACCCAAGTGTACTGATAGAGGTAAACCTGTGAATAGGAGAGCCAGAACCCCGGGGAGGGTGTAACTCCTTCGGTGCTCTGTCTTTGAAATGTGGGCAAAGTCCACTTACGTTTCAGTAACTTAGGCAAGAAAATTGTATCAAAGTTGTTTTGCACACGTACATGTACGGCTGAATCCCCTTGCTGTTAGCCTGAAACTACCACAACACTGTTAATCAGCTATACCCCAATACAAAATGTTTTTGGTGTTTAAAAATTTTCTTTTAAAGTTTGGTTTTTTTAATGTGCTAGACATGGGATCTCAGAAGGCTTGAATTTAAGTACCTACCAGCTGGCTCATTGGGAGACCTTCGTCTCTATATCTCAAGTCTTCAGGGAGGAGATATAAATCCTTCCCCACAGAGTTGCAGAACCAGTGAGGAGACAAGGGCTGTGAAGGGCTGCATCCTAGGTCAGGGCTAATTATCTTCACTCTGGGGACTCGGAAGGCTGGTTTTGCCCAGACCATTGGGAAGGTTGCTGCCCCTCTGTTGCTGGGGGGGACTCAGCTGTGCTATCTAGGGATTTGGAAGCAGGTGCCTACTGCCCACTTTTTTCTACCTCCAGCCCCCAGGGCAGCCCTGCGAACCTTCGAAGAGCCAGATAACTCCTGGAGGAGAAAATCCTACCACCCCTGCTGAGGGTCAGGTGTGCACAGGAGCCAGCACACGGCCTCGCCCAAGGAGACCCTGCAGGAAGCCAAGGCCCCCTGGCCTAACCTGGCACCTGTCTTGTCCCTGAGTCAAAGGAAAGAGGACAGACATCTCAAGATGTAGTAACAAGACCTTGATTTAACCCTGAGCAGCTTGCTAATGGGAAACTCAGCGGTAGGAGACCGGATCTCTCAAGTATTAACTGGGCATGATTATTCCAGCCAAGAGAGCCGGCAGCAACTACCCTTGACACCAATGGACAAGCGGCAGGTGGTGTCCAGAGGCTTGCTCGGCCCGAGCCTTTGCCCTGAGCCCCTCCTGGATGACCAGGGGAGGCAGGTGCTCCCGGCCTCACCTATCCCCGAGGGGACTGCCCTCTCCGGGCACGCGGGCAGAGCGAGGCCACCCCGAGCGACGCACTTACCAAAGGTGGTGAGATAGAAGGACAAGCCCGGCTGGGCGCGCCGGCTCCCGAGTGAGACGCGGTGCAGGGAGCGCTCCATGGCCGCGGCTCCGCTCCTGTCGGGCCAGGGCGAGGGCGCCTGTAACTCGAGGCGTCTGTGTTGCTCCCAGTAACCGAGGCAGCAGGTTCACCCGCCCCTGCGCCAGTGTCTCAGCCGCCGGGCGGGAGGCCGGCTGCAGCGCACGTTTGAACCGGCGGCGCGCCGGGTTCTGATTGGCCCGCGCCGGTTTGAATGGGGAGATTTCCACCTGACCGAGCCGCCGCAGGCCAAGGAAGGAGGCGACTGCGGGTCCTCTTGTAACAGCAACACGGAGGCCGGGACGGGCCAGGGACCGTGATCCTCCCCGTGGAGCCGTGGACGGGCGACCCTATCGGGGATCGGGGCTCTCGGCCCAGGTCTGCGCTGCAAACACCAGCCCTATGTCAGGCCCGCGACTCCTGACTTGCCCAAGCCTGGCACCCTCAGGCCAGCAATTAGCCAGGTTCACATGCTTTGAAGTTCAGACCTGTAATCACCCTCCCTAAGCAAGGACAGAGACGCACCCTCCTGGCCCAATGCAATTGGGGCTGGAAAAATGTTCTCCACACTTGGACCCCTGACCCCCGCCCCCACCACCACCAGCAGCCAGGCTGCAGGCCCCTTCCCTGACCCTGGCCCCTCCATCTTTCTTGAGCCTTCAAGCACCCTGGCACAGGCCCAGACCAGAGCAGCTTCCTCCAGCCAGCCTCATGGCCACCACCTGCAGCCTGGTGCCATGGGGCAGGAGGACAGGCCCCTGACCTGAGAGGACAGAAATGCATGGTATAGTACGTGGAGGGGTGTGGATGTGCTCAGTAGTATCCGACACTTCGGGACCCCAAGAACTAGCCTGCCAGGCTCCTCTGTCTATGGGATTTTTCCAGGCCAGAATACTGGAGTGGGTTGCCATTTCCTACTCTAGAGGGTCTTCCTGACTTAGGGATCGAACCCGCGTCTCCTGCATCGGCAAGCGGATTCTTTACCACTGCGAAGCCCACGTGGGGGGATAGGCCCTTTTAATCTCCCCAGCGGTGGGGGGAAGCAGAGCTGGAAGGAGGGTCAGCCCCTGGGCTGCTTTGTCGGCAAACATTCACGGGACGCCTCTGGCAGCACTTTCACAAGACATCTGCTCTGAAACCCTCTGACTGTCGCTGCTCAGGGAGGGAAAGCTGCTGGTCTTGTGTAAATCTAAAAATGGGGAGTGTTGGAAGTTGCCAAATGGACATTTGTGACTCACTGAGCCACTCAAGACAAGATTGGGGAATGCAAGAGAGAAAGTGGAGAAAAAAGCTTTATGTACTGAGTACCTAGTGCCAGTGGCTGAGCTGTGCAATTTACAGTCCTCTTCTCGGTTAGTCTTTACTGGTAACTCTAGGAAGTATTAGCTCCAATTCACCAGGGGTAAATCTGAATCTCACACAGAGAGAACAGGTGACTTGTCCAGGGCTGGCAGAGCTGAAAGTTGAGCCCAGACCAGTCTGCCCCAAGGACCACCCTCCTGTTCTTCCTTGGCCTCCATGCCTGCCCCACGGCCAAGGGCAAGCGGAGGTAGCATATCTGCCTTCTTGAGGCAGGTACAGAAACTAGATGCCACAGGGCCAACTGGCCACCAGCGGGGAGGAGGAACTGGAGAAGAGCCCAGAAATCTACAAACTAGTGGTCAACTGCAAATGACTCACGCAAAGGCCAGCGGATCGTTTGGATCCTGGCGCACTGTAAAGCCCTTTCTCCTCCTTCTCCACACCCTCTCGTTGAGCACTGCCCATAGCAGGGACAAGCCTGCTTCCCTGGCCCCAGCCCAGTGGTAGATAGACTTACCTGCGCCCTGGACTTGAGTGGGCCTGATCCTTCTCCTGGCTGGGGAAGTCTGAGTCCAGGCATCCTTTCTGACCAGGGAGGTATCCTGGCTCTGCCGCTCCATGCAGCCAGGGAAAATAGGCAAGTTTAGGCTCAAGCCATAGGATGCAGGCAGGACAGAGGCTGAAAGTGCTGCAGACCTGGAAGCAAGATGGGAGCATGAGTCAGACATGGCCTGAGGGTGCCCCCGAGAGAGGGCTTCACCCCAGTAGGAATTAGAAAGCATGGTAGTCCAGAGCCTGGGCAGGGGGAAGTCCGTCAAGGGAAAAGTGACAAGCCCAGGTGACAGTAGCCCCTTCAAAGCCCTGCCAGGGACCACTTGCACTAGGGAAGACCACCTTGAACTCAGGAAGCTGTGAGCAACCGGCAGATGCACATTCTATTCTGGTCCATTGACCTGTTTGTCTTCTTTCTATATTATTTTAGGACTATTTAACATCTGTTAAGTCCTGCATGTGTGTGTGTGTGTGCTAAGTCGCTTCAGTTGTGTCCAACTCTACGAGACCCTATGGACTGTAGCCCACCAGGCTCTTCTGTCCATGGGGATTCTCCAGGCAAGAATACTAGAGTGGGTTGCCATGCCCTTCTCCAGGGGATCTTCCCGACCCAGGGATCAAACCCACATCTCATGCCTCCTGTATTGGCAGGTGGGTTCTTTACCACTAGCACCACCCAGAAAGCCCCAGTAAGTCCTAGCCTCCTCTATTATTGTTTTTCCAAATTGTTTTGGATATCAGGCCAGGTGATATCTTAGAGGTACTAAAGTGGAAGCCAGCAGGAGGGCTGGGCCGACTTACATTATCCATATGTGGCTCGGGGCAGAAAAGACTGAGGCCCACACTGGGCCCTTCATCCCCACTGGGGTCAAGGTCCCGCTGCCTTGCAGGTTCCCTCCTGACTCCTTCTGCGCTGTCAGCAGCTAACCTGTTCAGCGGGGAGACCCCAGCGCCACTCTGATACTAATTCATTCCTGCGGTGGCTCCACCTCCACCACCCTCACCACCAATCAAACATTAGACCCCTTTCCTTAGAGCCATGAAGCTTCCTTCTCCTAAAGGGGAAGGTTGCTCTTTTCTCAGGAGGGGGAGGACGGAAGTGAGCGGAGCCTGGGCAGCGGCACTGCAAGAGACACTGGCCCTTTAACCCACACTGCCGTCGACATGGGACGTCCAGAAAGGGTCGCCATTTATGGCCCTGCTTTCTCCAAAAAGGCGAGGGAGTATGAGAACCAGGCCTAGCTTTGTGACGTGCCCTGAACACTCTAGCTCCCCCTGGCCATGGGCCTCAGTATCCCTCTTATACTTAACACACACTCCACACATACATAGACAAACTACACACACACACCTGCATACCACAACACTGCTGATGTACATTCAAAAATACACCAGATATACAAATGTACCATGTACATATACACATACCCCACACACAAATCAACACATCACATACACACCTCCTACATATATATAGTCACATCTCACAGACTATACATCCATCCTCTGGACATACACAGGTGCATAGCCACATGCTACAGACACACACACACACAACCCACTTTAATGTCCTATACACATATACCACATCCACATACAAAGATTGATTACGGATATTTTTTTAAGACTGACTCTGTTTCTAGAAGAATAAGGACTGCTCGTGTTTGGATGGAAGGGACTAGAGAGATTTATTCGGGTGCATTTTCACATTAGCTATCAAAGAAACCTAATGCCTTTAAGATATCATCTGACCTGATAATCAAAGCAATTTTGAAAAGTAATAATAAAGGGGACAAAGACTACCAGATGTTAAATAGTCTTAAAATAATATAGAAAGAAGACAGATCAATGGACTAGAGTAGGAAGTTCAGGGAAAACATGATTTGATTTAGAAAACAAGAACAATTTTCAAAATTCTTTAAAGACGTTTTAAAAAGTTAAAAGTGGAACAGCTAATGCAGATGAAATTTTAAAAGGAAATAATAAGGTTAAAGTTGAAACTTATCTTTAGAAAATAGACTTCAACAATAAAACCATGGCCTGGTTCTTTTCAAAGAACAGAATTCTGGCAAAACAAAGAAAACTATAAATAAGCAAGTTTATGAAAGAGAAAGATAGCCAAGATACAAAAGTAATTCTTTAAATTATGAGAGAAAACCATTGCAACCTTATTTGTAAATTTGAAAATCTAGGGGGGGACTGATGCTTTTCTAGAAAGTATTAATTGTTAAAACTGATACAAGAGTTTGAAATTTTTAATAAATCACTAACCATAGATAAGACACAAAAGGGAATAAAAAATCTACCTGACAAAATTATAGAAGACTTAGATGGAAATGGCAGTCCACTCCAGTATTCTTGCCTGGGAAATTTCATGGACAGAGAAGCCCAGCAGGCTACAGTCACGTGGTCACAAAAGAGTCAGACATGACTAAACAACAGACAGTTTTAGAGGCCAGTTCTATTAGACTTTCAAGAAACAGATAATGTCTCTGGAGTTTAAAACTTTTTCAGAACTATAAAAAATGCTGGAAGATTTGTCAGCCCTCTATATGAGGCTAAGCAAAGACAAAAACCAGATGAGGTTAGCAGCAGCAAACTACAGACCAAAGGCCACATATAAAAACAAGAGTAGAAATTAATAAAATAGAAAACATAGAAAAAGAAGATCTATTAAAAATGTGACAAAATTAGGCCCACATCCTCCCAGTTTTGCCACATTCCTTTTTTAAAAGAAAAATCCAAAATCTCTAGTTTTTAATATATTTCTCAATTTTTTAATATTGACAATGCAAATCTTTTTAAAATATTATGTAAGCCAAATGAAATATATCTATGTCCTATAACTAGCTTGAAATCTCTGCTAGACCAATCTGACTTATGAATATACACAGAAATATACACAGAATATACACAGAAATCCTAAATAAAATAATAGCAAATCAAATCCAGCAGTAAATTCATGATTCATTCAAATGGTATTTATTCTGGGAACACAAAGATGGCTCAAATTTAATGAACATATTAGTGCAGGGGTTGGCAAACTATGCCTACTGGCCAGATCCAGCCAGCCAACCTACTTTTGTACAGCAGGTAAGCTAAGAATGGATTTTACAGCTTTTAATGGTTGAAAAAAAAATTAAAAAGTTTTTATATGGCCATAAAAAGTTAAAAATTTTTAAATTAAAAACTGAGTTTAGGACTTCCCTGGTGGTCCAGTGATTTAGAACCCACCTTCCAATGCAGGGGACTCGGGTTTGATCCCTGGTCTGGGAACTAAGTTTCCATAAAAAGTTAAAAATTTTTAAATTAAAAACTGAGTTTAGGACTTCCCTGGTGGTCCAGTGATTTAAGAACCCACCTTCCAATGCAGGGGACTCGGGTTTGATCCCTGGTCTGGGAACTAAGTTTCCAGATACCCCCGGGCAACTGGAGAATAAGCCCATGTGCAGCAACGAAGATTGTGTGCCACAACTAAAACCCAACACAGCAAATAGATAAGTAATTTTTCATGAATTTAAGATATTTACAAAATATATGGCAAGTATGTATATAGGTACGAAGTATTCTTACAAATCAGTAAGAAAAAAATGTACCAAAGAATATGAATAATCATTGCACAAGAGAGAAAGTGTAATTGACTAATATATAAATACTAGTAACCAAAAAAAGAGGAAAAAAATCATCCTACCATTTGCCTTCAGGAAGTTCAAGCCTTTGTATTTATAGATGAGACAACTAAGTTTCAGAGTTGTTAAATGAATCAGGTTGCTAGGGTAGTAAATAAACAGTGGAGGAATAAGAGTCCAACCAAAGAACCATTATAGAATGTCATCATTCAACACTAATCTTCCTGCTCAAGTGATGAGGCTGCAAACTAGTAGGTCTAAGACCTCCATGGCTTCTGACACATTAAGAGACAATTCAACAAATGTTTGCTAAGCTAATAAGCACCTGTGCTGTGTCAAGCCTTATGCTGAACACAGAGCATACAGAAGTGACCGAGATGGAGTTTAAAATCTGGTGGAAGACTGGATAAGGGTTACAACAGAGGAAACATGGTAGCCTGCAGAAACACAGATTAATATCTCACTTAGTCTGGGCAGCTGGACAAACCGGGATGAGAAAGAAGTCAGAGAAGACTTCTCAAAGAAAGTGAGACCCAAAGGATGCTTTAGCCAAGCCAAGGAGGTGAAGGAAGGGTTACAGGTAAAGAGAGCAAAACATTCAAAGACCAGAAAGTAAGAGAAGCTCACACCTTTGAGGAACGGAGCAATGGGATATACGGCGGGGAACTTGGGTGTGACGAGGGAGGTGATACACAAGAAGATAAACATCTTACAGGGCTTCATGCATTATTAAAAGGAGCTCAGGCTCCTAAATGTAGGACAGTCATTGAAAGATTTTAAGATCCCAACATGTTTTGTGCTTTGGAAAAATCATTCTGGCTAGAGTGTCAAAAGTGGATTGGGAAGATGGAGGGGGGTCATGAGGGTTGGAATCAAAAGTGTTATTAGGCAAAGTCTTTTCCGATGACCCAGGTTAAAATAAAATTAGTGCAGTAACAGTAGGGCTTGTTGCTGTTGTTCAGTCACTAAGTCACATCCGACTCTTTGGGACCCAACGGACTGCAGCATGCCAGACTCCTGTCCTCCACTGTCTCCTGGAGTTTGCTCAAATTCGTGTCCATTGAGTCAGTGATGCTATCTAACCATCTCATCCTCTGCCGCCCTCTTCTTTTGCCTTCAGGGTCTTTTCCAGTAAGTCATCTCTTCACTTCATGTGAGCTCAAGTATTGGAGCTTCAGCATCAGTCCTTCCAATGAACATTCAGGATTGATTTTCTTTCAGTTCAGTTCAGTTCAGTTGCTCAGTTCTGTCTGACTCCTGGCGACCCCACTGACTGTAGCACACCAGGCTTCCCTGTCCATCACCAACTCCTGGAGTTTGCTCGAACTCATGTCCACTGAGTTGGTGATGCCATTCAATCTACTCATCCTCTGTCGTCCCCTTCTCCTCCTGCCTTCAGTCTTTCCCAGCATCAGAGCCTTCTCCAATGAGTCAGTTCTTCCCATCAGGTGGCCAAAGTATTGGAGTTTCAGCTTCAGCAGCAGTCCTTCCAATGAATGTTCATGATTGATTTCC